TCACCCCAGCCGCCCACCCTTCCTGATTCGGATCTCCTTTCATATCCCACACGTTGGCTCCAGCTTCAAAATACTACTTCTAGCTACTTTTTAAAACAATAGATTTCATTTATTTTTAGAGAGAGTGGAAGGGAGGGAGAAAGAGAGGGAGAGAAGCATTGATGTGGGAGAGAAACATCATCGATCGGTTGCCTCTTGCATGCCCCCCTGCTGGAGGCTGGGCCCACAACCCAGGCACGTGCCCTGACCGGGAATTGAACTGGCGACCTTTTCGTTTGCAGGAAGATGCCCAACCCACCGAGCAACACCAGTTGGGGCATATTCTAGCTACTTCTCACACCTCCGCTCTTAACCCTTCTCATCTCTGATGTGGACTGAGCTCCCGTATTAGGGTTCTCCAGAGAAGCAGAACCAATTGGATGGGTCCAAATATACTTGTATACAGAACGATTCATGATAAGGAATTGGCTCATACAATTATAGAGGCCAAGTCCTGAGATCTCCAGTCAGCAAGCTGGAAACCTAGAATAGCAGATGTTCCAGTTTGAGTGTGAAGGCAGTAAAAAAAACCCCATGATTGCAGGCAGGCAGGCAAGGAGCTCAGAGCTGGCCTTTGACTGGGTGAGGCTCACCTACAGTGCAGAAGCCAGTCTGCTTTTCTCAGTCTACCCACTCGTGTTCCTCTCTCCCAGCAACGCCCTACAGTATGGCCAAATGTCCGAGCAACCGGAGGTCCAGTCAAATTGACAGGTAAAATTAACCGTCACAGCTTCCCAACCAGCTTCCTGTTGTCCCCTGCTTTAGTCCTGATGCAACCGCCACAGTAACCTCTTCAGGTACGGAGGCAGGGGTGGGCAGGCTAAGGCCCGCAGGCCAGATCTAGCCCACAAGCTAAGAATAGATTTTACATTTTTAAGTGATTGGAAAAAACCAAAGAGATAGTGACAAAGAAGTCCATGAAATTCAAATTCTAGTGTCATAAGTAAAGGAGTTGGAACACAGCCACACCCGTTTGTGTAAGTGTCACCCATGGCTGCTTTTCTACATTGGCAGTGCTGAGTCATTGAAACCGCGACCCTATGGCCACAAAGTAAAATATTTACTATGTGGCCCATTAAAAAAAGCTTGCTGACCTCCTCTATTTAGGCTCAAACCCTCCATGACTTTTCATCCCATTCAGAATATAAACTAAAATCCTCATAATTGGCAGGGGCGACCTGTCCCTGCAGACCCCCCAACCTCCTCTCCTGGGGCCCAACTACGTTCACAAGGCCTCCTGCCTCTAAGCCTTTGCATGTACTGTTCTCTTTGGACCGCCCACCCTTCCCCCACCTCCAGTATCTGTGCAGCTCATTCCCCATTGCACTTGGTTACCATCAGATCTATCGGGGCGCTGGGTTCTTGACTGTCTCCCCCAAGTTCGGTGTAAACTCTATGAGGACAGGCACTTGTTTCATTCTCTACGGTAGGTGCCCTAGGGTCTGGCACCTTGTGTCAGGAAATGTTGAATGAATGAATTGAAAATACATCTTGAGCAGGGACACCTCTTGGATTATCTGTGGCAGTAATTTGCGTCCAGCGCACAGCCCTCCCCTGACCACGGGTGACCCCAGGCGACCCCAGGCTGGGCCAATGAGCCCCCTGGAGTTCGCTCTCTCCGGTACATTATATCTGAGTTTGCGCTCCCAGGGGCCTGGGGGTTGTGGAATCCAGGGAACCAGCAGAGAGAGCAGGTGCACAGTGATGGAGGAAGGGTTTCTGGGTCTCTTGTTCCTTAATCCCACACTTAAGCTCCAGCTGCATTTCGGACCTTAAATTCCATGAGATACCCCCAGAATCCGACTGCCACTTAAGCCAGTTTGAACTGACCCCTTCCTCGAGCAGGTCTGCTTCGGAGCACGCTTGGGGTCCGAGACCCAGGGCTGTTCATCCCTGCACTGCCAAAGCCTCGCGCCCAGGTTGGCTGTTGGAGGCATGGATTCCTTCAGCTGCTAAACCATTGTTGTGCAATCACGGGGTGTCGGACACGTTTCTAGATTAGATTGCCCTCTGACCTGCTGGGTTTGGTGGCCAACCTGCAGTGCCCAGGCGACCCAGGGACCCCTGGGGAGCCCCATTCTTCCCTCTGGAGGGCCGGCTTCACCCCGCAGCTCCCATCCCAGAAGCCTGCTCCCAGGCTGAGAGCCAGACCTGGGCTGAACAGAAACTCCCTGCAGTTCTGTCCCATTTGAGAAGGGGAATTTGAGAAGAGGAATTGCGCCCCAGCTGCAGTGGCTCCCGAGTGGCCATTTCCCCTTTAAATGATCCCAACAAGTAAATCTCAAGCCTGAGAGCCCTCCCTTCAGTCACAGTGGGTGATGGGGGGCAGCAGCCGGGTATAAGGCTTCCCTTCCCTTCCAGGGCTGGGTCTTCCATCGGAGCCGCTCTGCCTCTAGTGAAACTTTTGCTTTCATTTGAACAAAAGGCCCTGTGGCTGGCAGTTAAATTCAAAAAGTGCAAGTGCTGCCCTGAAGAAACAGGCTGCAGAACTGGGCCGCCCAGCCAGCTGGACTGTTGTTTGGGAGGAAGTGTGGGCTTGGCAGTCAGGACGACCTGGGCCCTTCCCGGAGCCTCAGCTTCCTAGGGGCACTGGTGAAGGCCATCGTGGTCCTGTGAGAGACGACCTCCTCGTTTTCCTGCAGTTTTCCTGTTTCCAGGGAAATGAACAGCTGGTCTGACAGGAAGTGGGTATCATGGTCGGGGAGGAGCCACAGTGAACTCCCAGCGAATTACAAATAGGTGGTCAAATCTCGGCTCTGCCTGGCCTGTCAGAAACAGTCCTTGCCCAGCCACAAATTTCCGGGACCCCACCAGTGTTTAATTGCCCACCTCCCTCATTTTCCTTAATAACTGAAGGCATAGTTGACCAGCTTGTGCCTTGTAAATGCCGAGTGGAAGCTAAACTTGGTTGGCTTTGGCTGCCTAATGCTTCGTGTCTCTGTCTCCATGGTGTTAAGTTTTTAGGACCGTTCTCACTGCTGGTGTGAAGTTCCCCCGTCCACGGCCCACCCAGATACAGCAAAGGGGCCACATGCGACTGAACAGACCACCGCACGAGCCTGCCTGGCAGGCCTTGGTGACCTAGTGCTGTTGTGAGACCGTTTAGCACACACAGGCAGACCTCAGGTGTACTGTGGGTTGGGTTCCAGGCCAGTGCAAGATAGCAAATCACACGGATTTTGGGGTTCCTCAGTGCATGGAAAAGTTACATTTCTACTATACTGTAGTCTTATTAAGTGTGCAATAGCATTATGTCTAAAAGACACACCCTGGTTGGTGTGGCTCAGTTGGAGTGTCGTCCTGTAAACCGAAAGGTCACAGGTTTGGTCCCCAGTCAGGGTGCACGCAAGAGGCAAACTGATGTTTCTCTCACACATTGACGTTTCTTTTCCTCTCTTTCTCCCTCCCTTCCCCCTCTCTCTAAACTTAGTGAGCATGTCCTTGGGTGAGGATAAATGCATAAATAAGAATGCACATGTCTTGATTTAAAAATACTTTACTGCTAAAAAATGCCAGACGTCATCTGAGCCTTCAGCGGACTGCAGTGTTTTGGAGGGCCTTGCCTCGATGTTGATGCTGCTGACCGATCTGGGGGTTGGTCGCTGAAGGTTGAGGAGGCTGTGGCAGTTTCTTAAAATAAGACATCAATTGCTTTCACGAATGATTTCTCCAAGATCATTGGGCACAGAGCACCATAACAAATATAATAATGAAAAAGTCTGAAATACTGCCAGAATTACCAAAAATGCAACACAGAGACAAAAAGTGAGCAAACGGCACCCGTAGACTTGTTCTATGCAGGGTCGCCACAAACCTTCAATTGGTAAACAAACAAACAAAAGAAAAAACAAGCAAACAAACCAAAACGCCCTCCTCAATATACCTGGCAAGTGCAATAAAACGAGTGCAATAAAGGAGGCGCAATAAAGCGTGGTGCAATAAAGTGAGGTAGGCCTGCACAGGGACCCCGCCCAGTGGGGCTCCAGTTTTCGTGTTTTGTGCACACAACCTAGCTGTGTGCAAGGCAGCCACCAGCCTCTCCGCCCACGTCCTGAGCCCTGCCTGCTGCCAAACACAGGCCCCTTTCTTGAGAGCTCCGCCTTCCTAGGCCTCGAAACCTAGGCCACAGAGCCCGTTGCCTGCTCTGTGCCTGGGCTGCCCACCCAGCCCGCCCTACCTGTCATCTCAAGTACCACTTCCCCTTGGGAGTCCTGGCACCCCCACCCCGCCGAGGTTGGGTGAGGGGCCCCTCCCTGGCTCACCACAGGGTGATGTTATCGGACTGTGTCATCATGGTCTGTTTACTTGACAGCTTCCCCCTCTAGATGAAGAGCTACAAGGGAGTGGGAGCCTGAAATCGCTTGGCTTCAGATCTGGGCGTGTCCAGCCTGGGGTGCCCACATTGGCGAAATGAACACGTTAGGAAAGAAAATAAGCAGGTCTTGCCCCCGTGGACTTGGCAGCCTGAGTCCTCAGAGAGGTTCTTGGCTGCAGCTGGGAGGATCACCCGTGCACCCAGAGAGAACACTTGGATTGCAAAAGAAGAACTGCATCAGGTTTGCAAAGTTCAGGAGGCCTGGGCTGTGTGCTTTCTACCCCCACTCCCTTTCTGGGCAAAAAGCGATTCCCACCCTCTTTTGCATTTGGTTATTCCCTTCCAGGGCGGGGTCCCTGTCACCGTCACTCTTCTGTCACCATTAACCATGGTGTAATGCTGTGGCCTTTCTCTCTGCTGGGTCCCCTCAAGTGTTGCTGCCCAGATTTCCACGTGGTTCTTGGTGTTTTCACGGTTACTGGAACCCAAGAGCGACACCAGGCTCCGCAGGCTCATCTCCCACTACTGTCCGGTCCAATCAACAGTGTCACCGAAGCCGGCAGAGACAAGGAGGGATCAGCCATCACGTGGCCCTGAGGAACCACATTCTCGCTTCCTTTTTTCACACTCAGCCGTTGGGCGTTGACAGGGCCTGGGGCCACGGCAGGCAGTGCCACAGCAGGGCCCTGAAGCGTGGGCTGGGTCCTTGTCCCTGAAACAGAGAAGCCACTTCTCTTGGGCCCACGAGGCAACTGTCCCATGCTCCACTGAGCACGGTGAGTGCTGGTGAGTTTGTAAAACCGCAGGGAGTGGCTGGGGGTTACCAAGGGGCCCGCGATCCTGCCTGACAACTGAGGGCAGGTGGGGGCAGGCCCTGAGCTGTGGCCCCTGGGGAGGGCAAACCGAAGCTCAGGGGGCTTGGGACCAAGGTCCGCCTGGGTGTGTGGCCTTGTTCTATCATCTCCGCTGGATCTTGCGCCCCTCTGCTGCCCTCCCGCCCCCGTGGCTTGGGAACATTCTCAATTCAAAAAATCGGAGAGTCGGGGAGCGTTTCCCTAAAAATCATCCTACCCCCGCTTCACGAGGAGGACACCGGGGCCCAAAGAGGTGAAGGGCTTTGCTCAGGCGCAGGGCTGGGGCGGGTCTGGTGGCTCCCAGGAGGGGTGCAGGGTGCGTCCACGAACATATTGTTTCCAAAGCTGCTGCCTTCATGCATTTTTATTTTATGCTTATTTTTTATTTTTTAAATCCTCACCTGAGGATATATGTGCTGATTCTAGAGAGAGGGGGAGAAAGAGAGAGAAACATTGATCGGTTGCCTCCCATGCGCAGTGCGACCACAGACTTCTGGTGTACGGGGGCGGCGCTCCAACCCACCGAGCCACCTGGCCAGGGCTCTTCAGGCTTTTAGTTATTTTAATAAGATCAGGGAAATGACATGTGTTCCTAGCCAATTACTTAACTATTAGAATTAGGATACTATTGCTAGCAAAAAGCCCCCAACAGTTAGAGTACTCCTCATTTGTGTTCGGGGTGCTTTAGGGATGAAAGGGAAACGGGGGAGCCGGCGGCCAAAGCAGCGCCCCTACACACACACAGGCGTGCGCCCGTCATACCCAAGGGCCCGAGCTCCAGTGCCTGGAATTCTCTTTCTCACTTCCCGAACCTTCTTGTTTTCTTCTCTCTCCCCCTCTGACTTGGAGTTCCCCAGGCCAGGCCTCTCAGAGTCCCTGGGCAGGGAGCTCAGGAGGGGGCTCCCCGGCCTCGAGCCCCAGGAGTGGCTTTCTCCTCGGGTTGCCTGGGCTGACCACACCCTAAATGGCAGGTGTCCCCTCACCGGGCTTGGCCAGCAGCCAGGGGAGAGCGAAACCTGGATATGGGGAGGGGCTGGGCTACCAGGCTCAGCACCTCCTGGGAACCTCGGCCAGGCCGTCAGAGGGGCGGGGGACCCTCTGAGACCCTGTGCCCCCTTTTCAGTGATAAGAAAACTGAGGCTCAAGGGGACAAGCAGCTGCTTGGGGTCGCAGGGCCCCAGGGAGCTAGTGATTCGTGTAGAGCCCCTAGACCAGGGCCCGGCACATTGCCCGCACTCAATACACAGGGTCCGGCAGAAGTCGGGCCTGCGTGGGTTGGTTGGTAGGGTAATAATATGGGTGTAATCATTTATAGTTTGAATTTGAACACTTCACCTAAAATGCCCTATGGTGTGCGTGAGTGTGATATTGTTATGTTACAGAATTTTGTGCTTATGATTTTGTAATAGGAAAAGGGCGTTATTTGTGCCTGACCTGTACGTGATTTACAAGCCAGAGGAGGCCAAGGCCACACCTGGCACCCGGGGCTTGCTGCGGAGGCAGATTTCCAGGGCTTGCTCCTGGCCCTCTCTGACTGACAGTGTCAGAGTCATGTTAAAGTTGTCCCAGGGTTGGGGACATTTTCAGGGATGTGGCCCTAAATGCAGAATGACAATGGCAAGAAAGAGCTGGCACTTACTAGTGAGCACTTACTATATGCTAAACACTCAACCTGGATCTGCTCACCCAGCCCCATGTGGTGCGAGTGCTACCATTGTCCCTGTGTTCCAGCCAGGAACCTGGGGCTCAGAGAGGGGCTTCTGTCGCCCAAGGTCACACAGCTTGTAAATGGCAGGGCTGGGGCTGGATCTGACTTGATACTGGATTTGATCCCACGTTGGGCCAGGCCCTGTCCTGTCTGCTGGGACTTCGACCTGCACTAGGATTGCCCGGGGGGGGGGGGGGGGTTGCAGGGGTCACCTGGGCCCCGGTCTGACCTCTTGTGGGTTTGGAGCCCCACCATCTTACAGCTGCTCAGCCCATACCTTGAGATGCTCAGTCTTTCGGATCCTGAGATTCCAAGAACTTGAACCTGGGGGCTCCTGGGCTCCAAGATTCTGAATGGGAGGTCCCAAGTGCTTTGGGGTCCCACGGGTGTCTTTCCTGAGCCCAGGGTGGCTGCACGAGGGGGTCCCTGGAACTAGGGTGTGGGCCCTGCAGCAGAACCACCCCTCCCCGGCTATAGGGTGAAAGACAGAAAATAAGCAGTGTCTGACCCACTCCCTTAGGTGAGTGGAAGACAGATGAGCTGTGACAGCTCTTTACCCTTCTCTTGGAGCCCCGCCCAGCCCCCTGCTGTGGTAAGTGGCTGTTTTCCTGCCCGCTGAGGACAGAGAGGTAGAAGGCTGGCCTGGAGGAAGCAGCCTCCCCCCTCGGAGCCTGGCCTTCCCGGTCTGTGTGGTGGGCACCCCCGCCCCTGCCCGGTGGAGTGAAGAGGGATGAGGTCCCCCCAGACGATGAGAGGACCACAGTCCTGCCACAGTGAGGGCTTCCTAATACAGCTTTTGCTGTACCACAGTAACTTTATTTTAGCAAGTGTTGGAGTTATTGTCCTACCTTTCACACCGCGCTCAGGCTCGGCCCCTCTCCTTGTTTCTTGTGTGGCCCCTCGGAGCCACGGAGTTTTTGGGAGCTAGATTTCTTCCCTTCCACAGGCTGGGGACGGCCCATCCTCAGCCTGGCGCAGCCCCTTCCCCTTGAAGCCCATGGGATGGGACAGCAGGCCCCAGGATGGGGTGACCAGCTGCCCCAGCTTGCCTGGGACTGAGGGGTATTGGGATGAGGACCAGGGATTTTTAGTGCGAATGTCAGGGACACCCAGGACAAGCTGGTCGCCCTAGACAGGCCCAGGCAGGGAGACATAGGCTTATCTTCTTTTTTAAATCCTGACCTGAGGACATGTCCATTGACTTTAGAGAGAGAGGAAGGTGGGGTGGGGAGAGAGACAGAGAGAGGAACGTCGATGTAAGAGAGAAACATCTCTATCAGTTGCCTCCTGTATGCAGCCAAGACCAGGGAGGGAACCTGCAACCCAGGTATGTGCCCTGACTGGGAATTGAACCCACAACCTTTTGGTGCACGGGATCACGCTCCAACCTCTGAGCCAGCAGGCCAGGGCCCAGGGCACTCATCTGTTACCTCAACAGGCAGGGGAGGTCTCTGCTCTCACACAGGGCCCTGCCGCTTCCCTAGCTGTACGCGGGGCAGGAGGGGAGGCTGCCGTCTCACGCCCTCCCTGGGTGCACGTTTCCTCTGCTCCTCTGCCCACAGCCCCAAAGAGAGCCCCTTAAATAAAATGGGCCCGCTGGATACCAGCCCTGGGGACCTTCCCTGCAGCGTCTCATCCCAGTCTCGCCACCATTCTTCAAAACAATAGTACTTATTTTACAGGTGAGGAAACTGAGACTCAGAGACAGTGAAGTGACCTGCTCAAAGCCACACAGCTGCTAAGTGCTGTCCCCTCCACCCCTCTGCATGCAGAGGGTGGTGGGGATGGGGGCAGGAGCGAGGGCCCACCCTGGGAACAGGACCCCGGCCACTCCATGGTACCCTCCCAGCCCCCAGCCTGCAGAAAGACTCTCCCAGATGCCTCTCCCTGTCCTGGAACTGGTGGGTTGGGCCTTGAGTGTTTGCCTCCTCCCTCTCGGCTCCAGGAAGTGACTGAGAGCCCAGCCTTCCAGGAACTGAGAACAGTGGGTGGGTGTGTCTTTTCATAATTAGGAAACGTGGCTCTGAGCTGGTGGCTTCTTCCTAAATTCTTCTGCCCTGGGGAAAGCAGGGCCAAGGTTAGGCCATACACTCTGCCCCCACGTAGGGACTCCATCCATCCCATGTGCAAACTGTCTCTGGGAGGCGGGTGAAGGGGGCAAAGAACATGAATGTGCGCGTGACACATTTATTAAGCACCAACTGTGGGTGTGGGACTTTTGAATCCATCATCTCAACAGCCCCACGAGACAGGCACTGTTGTTCCCATTTTACAGATGAGAAAACCGAGGCTCAGAAAGGCAAAGATCTGTGTCAAGTCATCTCGTGTGAAAGAGACAGAGCCAGGACTCAAACACCTTTCTGTCTGACCCTGTAGTCTGCTCCCAATCCTGTGCCCTGCATGGTGCGCAGTACATAGGGAGCTGGCCTTTCTAGGTGATGTGGCCTTCAAGGTCCTCTTTATTCTTACTCTGTCCTCCTCCTCCCAACTGGGTTTCCAGCCCTAGCCACAAACACAGCAAGCCGCGTTCTCTGCCAACCCTTTGCTCCATCTGCCCTCAGAGCTAGGTTAGGGCTCCCCACACAGCCTTCCTGGGTTCAAATCTGATCTCTGCCCCTCACCAGCTGTGTGTCTTTTGGCAAATCGCTTCGCCTCTCTGAGCCTCATCCCTCCTCAGTAAAATGAGGATACTGGTAATGTCGAGGTGGGCTGTGTCTGGTGCAAATATGATAAAGTCTGGAAAGTTTGGCTTAAGAAATTATTTTAAGATATACTGTCTCAGACTGACATTTTAGAAACCAATACAATTCACATCCACAGGTCAAGGAGGTCTGATCGAGGCTGGAAGCTGAGGGAACTATGAGTAAGTGACCGTTACTCATGGAGTGATAAGCAACTGCTCTTTGCTCCAAATCACTTGAAGGGCAAGGGAAGGTACTGGACGTTACCCCGGCTCAGTCTGCCCCAGGCACTGGCGTGGGGGGCACCGCGGGAGGGCAGTGTGTCCAGAGACCCAGAAGCACCGGAAGGCTGCCTGGGACGCAGCTCTCTCCCCTCAGCGGATCCTCTCAGGCAACATCTGGAATCACACAAATGCCAGCCAGGGCCAGGGGGAGCATGAGGAGAGGGAAAACAAGAAAACACAGGGGTCACAATGCCAAGAAGAAAGACCAGGGAGCAGCCCGAAGGAGAGGTACTGCCCTTTTGGGCCACCCGGTCTGGAGGCTAGAGGCAATAGCGGGATGGACAGTGACCCTACCCACAGGCAAATGAGGTGCCAGTCAGCTCCCTGAGGGCAGGGCTGTTGCAGAAGGTTTTGCTCCTGGCCCCAGAGAGCGCAGCAGATGGCTCTGGGCCCTGGGGGACATACAGGATAGGGTTGCTGAGAGAAGCAAAGCAGCTGCCCTTTGCTGGGGCTCAAGGGAAAAAGTCCTAAGGGCTTCTCAGGTACCACCTCATTTCATCTTCACAACAGCCTCTGGGTAGGTGCTCTCATCCCCACTGTGTCAGCGAGGACAGAGTCAAAGGGAGCCAGGCCAAGCGGAGTCACTGGGAAAGATCAGAAACACTGAGCATCTGAGGGGCCGGCCAGGGCTGCGTGGGGCGGGGCCAAGCCGGGGGGCGTGGCATGGGGGGGTCAGGATCAGACCCCAAGAGGCCTCAAGAGTCCAAACAAGGAGCTTTATCCCGTACACCTGTGGTCTCCAAACTCTTCTGCTCATGGACCCTATCGGTGGACGAGTACCTGGATCTATTCATAAATTGCGTACAGGCACTGCTCTTTTCGCTTTACATTATAAATGTATATACAAACATAAAAATTGAGAAGGAGTGACATAAAAGTTAATATAACTAGAAGCTCTAGTAGTTTCTCCCTGTGCTCCAGGGGATTGTCTTGGCCAAAAATAAAAAGCTTTAATCAAAAATGGTAGGGAGGCAAGTAGCTTCTGTGCACCATATAGAGGAAGTTGAAGCTCCCCATGTGGATTTATTCATGTTGATAAATAATAACAGCAGCTATTTGCTTAGGGCTTGCTCTGCTTCAGGCACGCACTTGGTCATCAGGAGCGCTTGGTCGTCAGGATGCCGAAAACCACACATCCTCCCAGACCAGACACATGCCCGGCTGCCGTCATCCAGGGCCACAGTCGTGGGTGCTCAGCAAGCCCAGGGGTCACGCTGTCCTGACGTCTCTCTGTTTGTGTCTCCCTGCAGGTGCCATGCCGCTGCAGCTTCTCCTGCTGCTGACCCTCCTGGGCCCTGGCAGCAGCGTCCAGCTCGGGGTGACCCCGGTCTGGAGGCCGTCGACCTGGAACGAGGACGACTTCAGGGATGAGGACTTTGACACCTATGCTGGGATTGAGAACACGGACCCTCCAGAAATGCTTGAAGATACTGGCACGGAGGCTATGACCCTGAGCCCCAACCTTCAGGCTGTGATGGGAACGTCAGGGCAGAGAGATTCTGCAGGGCCTGGTACTCCCGAGCTAGCCACTCTGGAGGTCCACTCTGCTGGCCTGGATGCAGGCGGGGCGGCCACTGGGAGCCTCGGCACGGAAGTGATGACAGAGGGGATTCCCATCACACCGGGCCCTCTGCCCACAGAGCTGGTCACTTCAATCCCTCCCATCATGGAGGCGCCATCCACAGATCTGGCCACGGTGAAGACCCTGTCTGTAGGGCCAGCAGCCACGGAGGCACTGACCACGCAACCTGCGGCCACGGAGGCACTGACCACGCAACCTGCAGCCACAGAGGCACTGACCACGCAACCAGCAGCCACGGAGGCACTGACCACGCAACCTGCAGCCACGGAGGCACTGACCACGCAACCAGCAGCCACGGAGGCACTGACCACGCAACCTGCAGCCACGGAGGCACTGACCACGCAACCTGCAGCCACGGAGGCCCTGTCCACAGAGCCAGCAGCCACAGGGGCCCTGTCCACAGCAGCCCCTTCCACGGAGCCCACTACCACAGAGACCCTGCCCAAGGACCCAGCCTCCATGAAGGCTCTATCCACACGACCTGCTAACACAGGGAGTCAAACCACAGCCCTCCTTGTGCCCTCTGATCGCCGCGGGGGCACCACCGTAGCAGTCAGCGACTCATCGGATGGCTTCATCAAACAACAGAAAAACAGCCAGCGCCTTTCCCCCGCGAGCCCCGTGTCCTCCAGCCCCACCAGCAGCCTGGGGCAGATCCCGGTGAAGCACTGTCTGCTGGCCATCCTCATCCTGGCTCTGGTGGCTACCACCTTCCTTGTGTGCACCGTGGTGCTGGCCGTCCGCCTTTCCCGCAAGAACCACACGTACCCCGTGCGCAGCTACTCGCCCACTGAGATGGTCTGCATCTCTTCCCTGCTGCCCGAGGGGGGCGAGGGGCCCGCCGTCACCGCCAACGGGAGCCTGCCCGCCACCAAGAAGCCAGGCCTAAAGGGGGGGTCCGGGGAGGAACACGATGGGGACGACCTCACCCTGCACAGCTTTCTCCCCTAGTGCCCCCTGCTCAGCCGCCTGAGCAGGGCCCCGGTGGCCTCGCTCCGGCCACTGCCCTCCTGGCCACCACTGAACACCCAGGCCCTAGTCCACGCGTCTGGGCTTCCCTGACCCCCGGGGGTGGGGATCTCTCGGGCAGGGCCCCGGCCACGCCCACAGGACTGGGAGCAGCCAAGGTCTCCCATTCCTCCGGCTGCTGGGCTTGCTCTCTGCCGAGCCCAGGGAAGAGTCAGGGGCGCCTGCCCGGGCCCCTGCCCGGGCCCCTCCCCTCGCCCACCGCCACTGTCCTCTGGTTGCCACGTTCACCGTGCATTTTGGGGGTGGGTACGAAGGAGGGTTGGGTTCCTGAGGCCATTTCCTGCCACTGCCCCACAGAGGGCAGCTTGAATTTTCTCAGACGCCCCTCCACAGAGCCCAGGGTGAGGCCCTGCCCCATGAGGGCCAGGGCAGGCTTGGAGGGCCAAAGGCTACACATTTTTGTGCAACTGCATGGATCCACAAAAGCCCTCCTCCTGGTGCCAGAGAAACCTCGCCTGCCCTCTCTTGCCTGCCCCTGCATCCAAGCCACAGGGCGGGCTCTGCCGTGTTCAGTGAAGAACCCCACCGCCCCGCCCAGGGCCCGGTGCTGGGACACACTTGATGAGCAAAGCTGGCTGCGTGCTTCGAGGCCTCCAGGGGCCTCCGTCAGGGGGGGAGCTGGCCCTTTGCTGTTCGCCCCCAGGCCCTTTCCCCTAGGAAGCCCCCTGCAGGAGCTGTTGTGTCGACTTCAGTCCTATCTCAAACACTGGGGGCATCTTGGTGCATCCCTGAGCAGCTGGGGAAGATTTCAGACTGAGAGTAAAGGGAGGAACCATTCTTCTCAGCTCCCTCTATGAGCCAGTTCTGGCCTACAGAATTGGGTCCCCCCCAATCTCAGACGGATCTAAACACCAATGCCAGCCTCCCCCAAAGCGCACTGTGACCTCTCCATTCCATTGGGACCTGTCTCCCATTAACGCCCAGTACCCACCCACTCCTCGCCTGGGCTCGCATGGTTTATGTACAACTTACAGGAGTCCTGGCGAGCTGTCCTTTCAAGCGTGGGGCCAGCAGACTTTTTCTTAAAGGGCCAGGCAGTAAATACTTTAGGTTTTGCAGGCCACGTGGCCTCTTGCAACTTCTCAACTCTGTTTTCATAGCATGAATACAGCAACTGTAATATGTCCTGAATAAATGAGTTTGGCTGAGTTCTAATAAAACTTTATTTATAAACAGGCTGCAGGCTGAATTAGGCTCTGTGAGTTTGCTGACTCCTGATTTGATTTAAGCATAGGGTGACCAGAGGACCCAGTTTGCCTGAGACTTTCCCGATTTTAACTCTGGAGGTCCCACATTGTGGGAAACTGTATACAAGACAGTTGGCTGCCCTATTTAAATGACCCTTACAACACGCAGGCATTGCCACTCTGGAAGCCCACCTTGACCTTGACGGTTGAATCAGAAGGCCAAGGGTTACCGCGGTGAAGTGACTGCCTCCCGCCCCCGCCCTCACAGTGGCTGAGCGGGGATTCGAACTCTTGACCCTCTGCCTCCCATGTCTTCCAGTCATCTTCCCACAGGGAGATGCTGCTCCAAGTGCACACTAGTCTACCTCCTGGAAGAGGAGTGGCCCTCCTCTCAGGGGAGACGTTTTCTTTTCTAGAAAAATGTCTGCAGTGGCCTCTGGACGTGAAGGACTCCTCCACTCCAGGACAGAGCCTGCAGAGAGAGATTTCAGAGAGGGGCTTGAGTCTGGAGGTCCTGGCCGCAGCTCAGGAGGGAGGGGCCGGGAGGAAGCGGAGCGACTGGGGGAGGCAGGAGGGTCAGCAGAGCAGGCAGCAAAGCCAGTGGGAAGTGGAGGAAGGCCTGCCCCTCCCCGAGCCTCTGGGACGAGTCTGAAACGCGAGGAAGGTGTGTCCAAGGCGCGGTGGTGGAAGAGGGGTGTCCACTGTGCTCTGGGGCGGCCCGCCCCCGAGAAGGAGGGCTGACGCGCTAGGAGCAACACGGTACTCACTTCCCCTGTTGGAGGGATCCGAAAAATCAGCTGGGGGACCATCATGGGGTTGGGGACTTTGGGGAACATCTGCGGAGTTCTGCCAGAGTCTTGTTACCACATCCTCCTGGGCAGGGAGGAGGTTGCTCTTTCTCCTAGGGGTCCTGGAACGTCTGATTTTCTATCTGCTTCTCCCAGGTGCAGGATTTAAGCCAGACAGTGATGATAGGTGCTTAAAGTAGCCACTAGGGGGCGCCCGGTACCAGCTCTTAGCGCCGTGGGCAACCCGGAGCTTCCTTCCGTCCAGGGTTTGGGGATGAGGGAGAAGGAGCTGTGTAGCCCGGAAGGAGTTGCGAACCCAGTGGGGTGCAGGTGAAGATTTAACAACTGGCTTCCTGGGTGGATTGGCACCCAAGTCATGATGTGTAGTGTCTGCCAATTTCCTTGACGTAAACACTCCCATGGCTAATTTTGAGCAACCAGCCATTCATATAGTAGGTGATACGATACATGTAAATCATCTCAAGAGCAGAGGTCATAGCAGAATGTAGTAAAATAATTAGGAAGTGATGACTTTTGAGTATTGAGGACCTTGGTTTTTAATGTAATATAATCTGACTTATGAAACAACTTGGCTCACCAAATTCTGGACATTTGACAATCGGTTCTCCAAGTCAGGCCATCTCCTGCATACCACTGCCCCCTTCCTCCTGCCCTGCCCTCCCGTGGTCCTTTAACGTCTGCACCCAAATTACCCAGTTGATCCATTTAGCAAAGACAGCCTGAGCAGCAACACCCACAACATCTCCTTGGGTCCCCTCAAACAGCCTGGGAAGGAGGAACCAGTATCCTCCCCATTTTACAGAAGAGAAAGCTGAGGCTCCGAGAGCAGTCGCCTGACCCAGGTCATGCACGCAGATCGGGGACCCAGACTGAATCAGAAAGCCATGCTCTCACCGCTATGTCACGCCGTCCTTGAGATCACGGTGGGGTTCTAGGGGAATCCCGTGTCCCACACTGTCTCCCCTGCTGACCGGGCCTGGCTCCTGGAAGGCCCCCTCGGTCGCCCTTTGTGGGTCACGGCTGCTAAAGGGAAGACGGTGGTGCTTGAGAGGGTGACCCAGCCCCGCTCCTTGCTGAGAACAGGACACAGCAGAGCTGGGGCCTGAGACAAAGGACATGGCTGGGGACAAGGAGCTGTTGTGTACTGGGCAGCGACCGCACGCCCGGCCCCATGCCGAACAGCTGGCCTGGAGGACCTCATTGGGCCTCACGGAAACCCTGTGATGTGGCGCAATAATTACCCCATTTCACTGCAGGGAGAACTGAGGTTAGAAGGCTGCTCTGCTTTCTCCATCGGGACATTCCACTAAGCAAGCAGACGCTGCTGACTTCAGCTCTGATGACCCGGAAGGAAGGCGGGCAGACAGGAAGCGGGGTGGGGATGGCACGCTAAGTCTATTCCAGGTCCTTCTGTCTTAGGAGCTCGGGCTGCCAGTCCTGCGGGTGGTTCATTCAGTAGCGGATCTGGGCACAGGTTCTCCAAACTCATCCGCCATAGCCCACCCCCACTGGCACTCAGCCAAGCCCTGTAACTTGATGGTTGGGGCATGTCCGCTCTGTGCCAGGCCCCATGCTAGGTCCTTGGATGCCAGGAGAGCAGAACAGGACTGGTGACGCCCTTTGGAGGCTCATGAATCTGGAGGGAGAGAGAGATGAAGCCCCCAGACTGTGGCTGGGCCCAGAGTCTGGAAGAAAGGAGCTGGGGGCTCTGAGCACATGCGATGCGGCCAGACCTTGGGGGTGGGGTGCGGAGGAGCCAGGAGGAGAAGGTTTGAGACTTGGAAGATGCAGAGTTGTTGACTTGGGAAGGAAGGTATAGAGAGAAGGATGTTCCGGGCGTCGAGAACGGCGCGGAGAACAGGAGGTGCACTGGGCGCATGGACAAGACCTGGGTGGCTGCAGGGAGGAGGGCGAGGCTGTGTGAGGTTGAGGGGGGCCTGGGCCGGAGGGGGGCGGTGCAAAGAAAGTGCAGAATTGAGAGATAATGGGGAAGGACCAAAACCTCTGTGTGTGAGGCATCGTGTGTGAATGCAGGGTGGTCCAAACAGGCTTGACCTTGAAGACATGTGTGCTACACACCATGCTGCCCCCGACCTGGGAGGGCAGAGGTGGGCAGGGCTCTTACTGCTGGGCTTTTAGGGGTACAGCCTGCCCAGCCTCCCACAGAATGTTGTTCAGCGATTGAAAACGGTGTTTTTGAAGGGGACTATGGAGAAATGCCCCTGTGTAATGTTAAGTGAACTCAGCCTCAGTTTCCTCCTCCGCGAAATGGGGTCATGATAGTGTCATTTCATAGGGATGTTGGGAGGATTAAGGAGATAAGACACAGAAAGCACTTGGCCCGGTGCCTGGAACAGGGTTAAGTGCTAGGCAACTCCGAGCCGCAGTATGACGGTGATCAAATGCAGAAAACAGGCTGGAAGGAAGGACACCGAGTGCGGGATTGCTGCTTTCAACTCTTCTGTCCCTTCCTCGTATTTCTCTACTGAGAGAACGAAACCGTTCTCAAGTGTTAGGAAGCCTGGGGGTCCCTGACCTCCCCAGCTGGTGAGTAGAACCATCTCCCTATCGCCACTAATGTCCACACAGGAGGGCTCAGAGCCGTGGTCCCTGCCTGGGGGCAGTTGTGCCCCAGGGGACGCCAACAGTGTGCGGAGATACTTCTGGTTGTCCCTCCTCGGGGGAGAGCTCCAGCATCTAGTAGGTCATCGGGGATGCAGCTGAACATCTGACAATGCACAGGGCAGCCCCCCCACATCAAAGAGGTGCCTGGTCCCACACATCAGCGGTGCTGCCCTTGCTGCTCCGCACTGAGAGCCCCGTGGAGCTCCCCCCCTCAGAGCTTTCTGGAAACCCAGAGAGGCTTCTGTGTGGCCCCCAACGTGGTTGTGGAGTGTCTGTCCTCTTGGTGGGGGGAAGGCTGTAACCATAGCCGCTCCAGCTCTTGCCACCCAGAGCCCCGCACAGCTGGCGCCCCCATGGCCAAGGTCGGCCGAGTGAACATGCTGCCACTGAGCCTCGTAGCGGGACAGACAGGGTGCTGCTTTTGCCGAGAAAGGGGGAAAGAAGAAGGACGCTGGGGCAGGAGACTAGAGCACCGAGGTGGCACAGACACCCGGGCCCCCCGAGCCTCGGCACCGGTCCGGGGCTGCCCCGCTCTATTAAAGGGGTTCTTCCAGGAGACGCTATAGTCCCGGCTTGTGTCTCCTCATCGGGCTCCCAAGAGGGACAGGCTTCAAGCGATTCCCCCCAGAGTTTCAGCAGCCCCTCAACAAGTGAATCCGTACAATAGGACAGAGGGTCCCCTAATCCCACCAGCCAATGCTTCTGGCCCCCAGCTCCTGCCTCACTCAGACCCCATGTCACCTGTTGGCTAATGCGCTGGTTGGAGGAGCGAAGGGAAGCCCCTGTCACCTCTCACTTTCATTCTGCTCGGGCCCCACGGACCCTCTTGCTCTTTCTTCTTCACCTGCTCCTGCCCCAGGACCTTCGCACTTGCTGTT